CTAGCTCCATGAATTTGACTACTCTATCATATAGAATCATATGGCATACAGTATTTGTCCTTTTGTGTGTGGTTCATTTCACTTAGCACAATGTCTTCAAGGTTCATTCATGTGATAGCATGTGTCAGAATTTCCTTTTTCTTCTGATCCATCATCAGATGTGTTATCTATTGCACCCCCGGTCCTGAGCTGAGAATTTCTTTATTCTTAAGCTAAATAATATTTTGTTAGATGTACCACATTTTATCCATTCATAGGTCAATGGACATTTGGATCGTTTCCACATTTTAGCTATTGTGAATAATGCTGCTATGAACATAGGTGTACAAATGTGTTCAAGTCCTGGATTTAAATCGTGTTGGGTATATATACACCCAGAAGTGGAATGGATGGATCATATGGTAATTGTATTTTGAGTTTTTGAGGAACTACCATACTGTTTTCCACAGTGGCTGCACCATTTTTTGTGTCCATGTATTTTGGCAGGATCTTTTAGTTGTTGTGCAATTGTTTAATTTCTCTCCTGGAGTCTCAGATAATCTCATATAAATGAAAAGATGCCCCAATCCTAATTAAAACACCTTCCATGACAACAATAACAAAGTTAACCCTTGGTCATATAACCTTGCTTATGTATCATGCTAGTGTTACCTCTTGAAAGCATGAGTTCTACATGTGTATTATTTAACAAATGAATAGGTACCTCTTTTGACTTAACTTAGCCATGCTCATATTTCAAAGATTTCCCCCACGTTTACCTCATCGTCCACAATTCTAGGAACATATGGCTTATTTACAGACTGGCATGTAAACTATGTCCCATAAAGTTGCACAACATGATTCCCTGATTTGGAGATGTGGTGTACACAATTGGGGGTCACCTTAGCCCTGTCTTATATAAGTGTATGAAAGTCTTTATTAAGAGTGTCATAATAGCCTACACCATTTTCATCTTTTACTTGTCCTTCCCACTTTTTTTTTTTTAATGGAGTTTCGTCTGTCACCCAGGCTGGAATGCAATGGTATGATCTTGGCTCACTGCAACCTCCACCTCCTGGGTTCAAGCAATTCTCCCTCAGCTTCCTGAGTATCTGGGACTACAGGTGCATGCTGCCACACGTGGCTAGTTTTTGTATTTTTAGTAGAGATGAGTTTTCATCATGTTGGTCAGGCTGGTTGTCCTTCCTACTTCTGATTTCATTGTAGCACTCCCATGATTCAGAGATTCAAAACATACAAACAAGGGCTCTGAGGGGTGAATCCACCATAGTTTCCAATATAAGATTAGGGCTGTGTTTCTCTTGAGTTTCCACTACCATTCCTGATGATATTCAACATTGCGCTGGCCTTTTCCAAAACAAAACACAGAGCTGCTATCCTTCATAGCTAGTTATGGCATAACATCCAGAGGGCAGATGAAGCTATAGTGAAGAAGCACTCTTGACTGTGAGGCTGGAGTCCAGGATTTTGTCCTTGGGTCTATTTTTGACTAATCATGTGATCCTTAGGAAATCATTAATCCAACAAAACCTATGTGTTTTATTGGAATTGTGTTGAATACTGGGATATCTAAATAAATAAGTCATACACTCTGCTTCATGGAGCTCACAGTCTAGTGGAAGAGAGTGACAGGAAAATCAGTAATTCAGATAAGGCATAATAAGTATCAAGAAGCCTACACTAGATATAGAAGAATCAGTAATTCAGGTAAGGCATAATAAGTATCAAGAAGCCTACACTAGATATAGAAGAACACAAGAAAAACTCTTGGATGAGGTATCTAACATCTGGAGGTAAGAAAAACTCTTGGATGAGGTATCTAACATCTGGAGGTAGGAGGAGGTCAGAAAATACTTTTCAGAGAGTGGTGATATCCGAACTGAGACCTGGAAAAACCTGGTTTGTTCATTGCTGTATTCAAGCACCCAGAAAAGTGCAAGGTACAAGGTAGGTATTCAATAAGCATATGCTATATGCTTGCTTGTGAGAGTAAGGAGCTAATTCCATGTAGCTAGAAAGACTTAGGCAAAGATGTGTGGTTGTCAGAAACGTGACGAGTTCAGGGAACTGTAATTATGGAGTTCTAAAGTGGGCAAAGCAGGAGTGGTTGGGCCTAAGGCTGGAAATACAGCTCAAGGCTTGGGCTTTGGAACTTCTTCTTGAAGGCAATGGGGAGCCACTAGAAAATTTAAGCACAAGAGTCACACAATCAGTGTTAGCTTGAGGGGCCAGTTATCAATTTTTGCCTCTCAGCTCCAAATTCACGTTGTATTGCCTCCTCTGCAAAAATTGAACTAGATCCTTTAATATTTTTCCCTTGCCAGCCACCACAATGATAAGCTTTGTTAGTACAGGGCACTGGAAGGACTGGAGGAGGAAGAGGTTTCTCTTGGGAATTTAGGAGTGTTCTTCTTGCTAGGATCCAGGAACTTGTAGTTTCTCCTGCACTGGGATTCTGTGGCACACAACTTTTCCAGCATCTGGTTCATGCAGTCTGTGATCTCCTGAGTACCCAACTGCTGTAGTACACAGTGGCCAACAGTGCTCCGTGGCTAGCAGTGCACCCGGCACCTCTTGGGTAGCTCTGTAGCTGAGTGCTGCCAGTGAGTCACCTTTGTGTGAGTGGCTTCCCTGGTGTTTCAGAGAGTAAATTTTGCCTGCCTGGCACCTCAGCAATTTCTCTGCTCCCCAGTCAGCTGTGGCCATATCCTTTGCACCAAGCTCTGAGAAATGTTTCCTCCTTGGGTAATCTTCTTAGGGGGAGGGATTGCTCCTTATATCTGTGATTCCCATATATTTTAGATCTCTTCTGACATATTAACCAATCCTTCATTACTCCACTCCCATCATTAACAATGCTTTTTTTTTTTTAACCAGGAGAAGCTAGTCTTTCAGGATCAAACAATTCTTTATATTGAGGTTGTTAAAATTACTATATGCTCAAAAATTACTGCATGCTTTATTTCTCTTTGTTGAACTTTGAAACATAAGTTGACTGATAGCTGTGTGGATAGGCTGAAGAGAGGGTGGTGAAGCTTCAGGCAGGGAGCCAGGTTAGGAGAATATGGCAGCACTTTTGACAACTCTCAGGAGCTTCACTCCCTTGAAAAGTAGTTGTCATAGAGAGAGATAAAAGAGACAGGTATTTAGGAGATAGGATCTACAGGATTTGGTAACTATGGAGGGAGGAGGAGGAAGAGAAGGTGGAGGAGGAGAAGAAAAAGAAAGTGGAGGAGGTGGTGAAGGTCAGAAGTGTCTAGAGTGACTATCAGTTTTCAAGCTTGGAAGACTGGGTGCATGGTAGTGCCACCCTTGTAGAAATGGAAAACACTGAAGTGGGGCCAGGTCAAATTATCCTCCCACGTTCCCATTTACTTTCAGGAGTTCCATGCACTTTTCAATCACAAAGAATTGGAATCATAGATTCTCTAAGTTAAAGAGGCATCAAAGCCCAGCTTTTCTGCCTTTAGGCAGTATGGGCCACTTGTTCACCTCAAAGAAGTGGGAGAAAGATCCATTCTAAACATTCCTCAATTCTAACATTTCTTAAAGTTCTTTTCCATTTTTAAATCTCTTGGATGGTAGGCCTTCAAGTACACAGAGCTCATCCACACCCCCAACTCTTCCAATTCAATAAATTTCCTCTTAAGTGGAAACTACATGCCTCCCAATGTGAAATGACAGGCCAACATATACCTGCCAAGTGCTGAAGAATGCAGGTCTTAAAATAGACTATAATCTTGTTTCTGGAATATCTCACTTGGTTTTATTGGTATGGGCTAAACAGGGCTTCTGTTTCATAAATGAAAGTCTCCAGTTACATGAATGAAAGGCTCCAGGCCAGAATTTCAGAGGCAGTTTCTATGAGCAGCACTTGGAACCAAGCACCAGGCAGCTGCACATCCCTGTTTGGGTTTGGGATGCGGTTGCTCTTGTTTGGAATGCATTCTCCCCCTCTTAACAGGTTAATTCTTCCTTTGGAGGTCTGCACAGCCTTCCCTGACCACCCTGTCAGTTCCACTGCACATACCCTACAGAGCATCACTTACCTATTGTTGGTGTGATTCTTTGAGTAACATGTGCCTCCCCCAGTAAACTCCACGGCAGGAAGGGTCAGTTTTTGCTCATTACACCATCCCAATGCCTGACCCAGTGCCTGGAACTCAGTGTTCAATAGATACTAGTAAAAATGAACGTATGATAGCAGTCTATGAAGTGCTAGCTATAAAATGTATCAGTGATAGTAGTCTATGAAGTGCTAGGTATGCCCACTGGTCCTCATGACAATTCCCCCAAAGCTATTTCTATATCCATGTTTCTGATGAATACGCAGAGGCGTGGCTCCTCTGTGTAGGGCTCTGTTTCCAGACTCTTGAGTCTCCCAATCAGTGTCCTCCGGTTAAGAAACCGTATAATAGTAATCTAGGTACAAAATACGCACACAATTTGACCAGAAAGCCATAATCCCCCACAGTCACATTCTCTTAAAGATCTCCTTGCCTTCCCTCCCCCTGCTCTGTGAACAGGGAGAGGCTTAGAATCCAGGGGCGTCGGGCAGGACTCCTCCCTCAAACCCGCTCAGAGCCCTGCCCTCCCTCCACTTCCCCTCCGTGGTGGCTACCTCAGACTCGTTCCCAAACCGGCTGTCTGGCTTCAGGGGACACCTGGCGCCTGGCCTCGAGGGAGAGATGTGGGGAGAGATCCAGTGCCTACCACCCTTGGCAGAAGACCAGTAGAAGCTAGGCGGGGAGGGCAACAAACGGCCGGGGGGACAGCAGCGGGGGGGTACGACGGCCGTTAGCGTTAGGACCGTTAGCGCTCCGCCTTCTCCTGGCAACCCCCACGCAGGCTCCGCGGCCAGGTCTCCGGGGGCGCGCCGGGTGTGGCGTCACAGAGCCGCCCCGCCCCCTCAGCAGAGGTGCGTGCCCAGGGTCGTCACAGAGCCGCCCCGCCCCCTCAGCAGAGGTGCGTGCCCAGGGTCGTCACAGAGCCGCCCCGCTCCCTCAGCAGAGGCGCGTTCCCAGGGTCGTCACGGAGCCGCCCCGCCCCCTCAGCAGAGGCGCGTTCCCAGGGTCGTCACGGAGCCGTCCCGCCCCCTCAGCAGAGGCTCATTCCCAGGGTCGCGCTACGGCGCTGCTGGGGAAGCGGAAAGCTGCTTTGGGCTTTGCTGGCGGTGGAAGGACCAGATGGCCTGGAGGGTGTAGGATAGGGCTGGGGGCGTTAGGTAACCCGGGCTGGGGGCGTTCGGGGTGGGGCGGAATGTGTAGCCATATACTGTGAGCTTCTGTAGGTGAGAGAGGGGAAGTGGAGCTTAACTTGATCTTTTGGCTTGTGGAAAGTGGACAGGTGAGAAGTCCTCGAGAAACATAGTAACAAAGACTTCTTAAAACGCATTTTTTGGTGCCAGGAATTGTTCTGATTGCATTACACACATGAACTCATTTCATCCTTACTGTCATGCCATGAGGCAAGTACTATTGTTATCCCCATTTTTACAGATGAGGGAACTGAGCGCAGAGAGGTTAAACTTGTCCAAGATGACAGTCAGCACATGATAGAGTCAGGATTTGAACCTGGGTTGTGTGGTCCCAGATTCCTCACTCTTGATGGTAAGTAAGGGGGATGAAGTGGGAAGGAACAGAGCCTGAGATACTTCCTGGGAACAACAGGGAAAGACAGAAAATATTTACTGGGTAGAATGTGGTCACTGTGCTGGGCACTTTTACCAACATGATGAGAAAGTCTCACAGTAACTCTGAAGGTAGGCATTACCTTCCTTTTAGAAACAAAAAGCAGGCTCAAGGCTTTGAGTAATTTTGCCTGCGATCAAACAGCTGGCAGTAGGACCCAGGGCCCAGCCTGACTCCAGGGCTTCTGATTTTAAGACAGGGGTGTGTGTGTGTGTGTGTGTGTGTGTGTGTGTGTGTGTGTTTCTGAGACAGGGTCTCGCTCTGTCACTCAGGCTCACTGCAGCCTCAACCTCCCAGGTCTAAGCAATCCTCCCATCTCAGCCTCCCAAGTAGCTGAGACTACAGGTGCATGCCACCATGCCAGGCTAATTTCTATATTATATTTTTATAAATGGGATTTTGCCACGTTGCCCAGTCTGGTCTTGAACCCCTGGGCTCAAGTGATCCACCTGTGTTGGTCTACCAAAGTATTGGAATTACAGGTGTGAGTCACTGCACCCGGCCTCAGAACTGTTCTTTTTAAGCCCCCAAGGAGACAAGAAAAGCCCCATCTTTCTCTACTACAACTCTTGTCACTTCACACCCATTTAAAGGTGCCCATTGCATCATCTAATCCTTCAGTCCTTTTATACAACAGTGTGTATTAGTCTAAATCAATTAGTTCACCCAGGGCCTTCAGAGCTTTTTCTGGTTATGAGATGAAAGCCTTTGTCTCCCCTTAAAGCAATTTTAAGCATCAGTGAACAAGTGGGGGAACTAGATTTTTGGTTTATGCATGCAGAAAGCTTTTCACAGCCTGCTGCTATTCATTTGTAAAGAGACCACTCTGCTGGCATTTGTCAAAATCCTGCAGTCCTTGCACACCTGGAGAATCCTGGATGATCTGGGGATGGCCACTGTCCACAGGCAAGATCTGGGGATGAAGGAATTCTAGTCACTGGCTTTCAGCTGCCTTTCTGAGGCCTCTGTGGAGGGGCTGCCAGGTGTTGGTGTAGGCACCGACCAACAGGGTGTGCCTTAGGGTAGGAGGGGGAGGCTGGAGGCCTGAGGGCTGCAGGTGCATCTTCCAGGATAACAAGAATGCTCTGGCCACTGAGGTCTGTTCTGTGTATGCACATGGGACGAAGGTGTGCCAGTCTATTGCTGCTTTCATGCAGAGTAAATAATATCAACAGGAATGAATAATAATGATCTTTGGGTAGAAGAAGGGGTTTTCAGACAAAGCACTAGCAGCTGGAGATAGAAGATGAAATAAAATAGAATGTTAATGTAGCAGGTTAAACACAAGCGAGGAATTTCCTGACACTGTCTGACTGCGGTGGTTTGAGTAGGAGGCAGGTCGAGAGGCATAGGTTAGATTATCCTGGATCTATCAGTCAATAAATATAACAGATACAATCGAGAGAATAAAATTATATTGATTGTATCCTGAAATGATAATGACACAATTCAAGAAAGTTGCTTTCTTCTAAAAGAGCGTAAGAGTAGGAAAGGGAGGAGCACATAGACGTTACTGGTAGTGGTCTAGCCCTTGGGGTGGATGGTGGTTACATGGGTGTTTATTATATTTCAGTAAAAAAAACCTGACTTAAATACTACAATAAAATCTTTTATTGCATAAAATCTTTTATCAAGTAGGTTACATTGTTTTCTGCTATTTTCTTGTACAAATAAAAATTGACTATATCCTTTCTCATCATTTCCTTTTTTCTACTGGATAATTCCCATCAGCATACAAACATTTTCCTCTTCACCTTTGACCCATTTCTCTGCTACCCTTTATTGCAAAGTTCTTCAAAAAGAGTTGCCCACACCTGCCATCTCTAATTTCTCCCAAATCTCTCTTGAATCTACTTGAAACAGGCTTTCATCCCCATCATTCCACTGAAATGACTTGTGTCCGGGTCCCCAGTTACATGCTGTTAAATCCAACATCATCTCTCAGTCTCAGCTCAACCTATCAGCAGCATTTGACTCTGTTGATAACTTTCAAATAATTGAAACACTTCCTTTCCTTGGATTCTAGGATGTCACACTCTTGGTTTTTCTCCTTCCTCATTGGCTGTTCTTTCTTAGTCTCTTTTGCTTGTTCTTCCTCCTCTCCCTGACATTTTGATCTTGGAGTGCCCCAGGATTTACACTTGGACTTCTCTATCTATATGCACTCTCTTTTTGATCTCATCCAGTCTCATGTTTTGGATATCAAATTTATGTCTTCAGCCCTAATCCTTTTCTAAACACCACAATATAACATCCAACTGTCTACTTTGCACCATCGCATGTCTAATAGGCTTCTCAGGCTGAATACCCCACTACTGCACTCCAAGATTCCTCTCCAAACCAGCTCCTCCAGGCTTCCCTGCAGCAGCAAATGACAACTGTAAATTCCAGTTGCTCAGGCTAAATAACCTTGGCATTATCCTGGACTTCTTCTTCTCCCACACCTTAAATCCAATCAGAGCAAATGCTATTGGCTCTATTTCCAAAAGGCATTCAGAATTAGAGCACTTCTCTCCACTTCCATCACCTTGGTCCAAGGAAATCTCATCTCTCACCTGGACCATTACAGTGGCTTCCTAACCCATCTCCTGTTTCTGCCCTTTCCCTCCTGTGGCCTGTTCTCATCAAAGCTGCCTAATCACTTTTTTGGAAACCTAAAACTGATCATGTCATTCCTCTATTTAGAACTCTCAGTGGCTCCCACCTTATGCAAGTAAAAGTGGAAGTAACCCACAAGCCCTTAAACTCTCTGAACACATCATTTTCTCTTTTGTCCTTCTTCACTACCCTCCAGCCAGCTGGCCATCTTGCTATCCCTCAGAAAGGCCAGACTTCTCCCGCCTCAAGACTTACACTTGCGTTTCCTCTTCCTGGAACATGATTTCCTCAGATATCCACATGGTTTACTCCTTAGCACCTTTGGTTTGTATCCAAATATGACCTTCTGAGGGAGTTTTATCTGACTCTTTTAAGTGGAACACCAGTATCCCTTCCGATGCCTCCCTTGCTTTACAATCATTACATACTATGTATTTTTAAATTTTTGTTTTATTAATTTCTCTATATTTCTTCACTGGAGGGCATGGGGTTTTGTTTGTTTTAGTCACTGCTATATTTCTGGAGCTAGAACAGAACTATGCACATAATGGGCACCATAAATATTTGTTTACTGAATTAAATTCTCTTTTTTATTCTCTCTTTCCGCCTTGCTTCCCCTATCTTCCTTATTCCAAGAGGCCCTTCTGAAAAATTATGTGTTCTTTCAGCTTTGCATGTTCAGTGTCTTAGAGACTAAAGTTCTATTTGACCAAATAATGACAGGTGTGGCACCAGAGAGTGGGAATCCTGATTGCCATCTCTACTATCTCAGCCTTATAATAAATATCAACTGTCTCATACCAGCTATGAGATCAGAAAGTCACTCTCCCTATCCCATGTGGCTTATACTGTGGCTCACTTTCCCCAGATCTTCAGTATGCCGTTTCATAGGTGGAAACAAGAGCAACCCCGTCCCAGCTGCTGCTTGGATCATGATGAGGCTGGGCTGAGCAGTGATGGTGGTTATGCCACAGTCGGGACCTTGGCTCAGGTTCAGCACAATTCTGGGATTTAGCTGTGGGGTGTGGTTGTTAGGCTCCCCATGGAGCCAATCTACCTGTGTACACAAACTCCTTTCACATATATATTTGTGGGGTTTTTCTGCTGTGTAGCAAATTACCACATACTTAGCAGCTTAAAGCAACACAGATTTATTATCTCAATTTCCATGGGGCAGGAGTCTGTGTAGGCTAGCTGGGTCCTGCGCTAAGGGTCTTGTGAGCCTAAAATCTAAGTGTTGGTTAGGGCTGTCCTCTCATATGAGCTCTAGGGTTCTCTTCCATATTCATTGGTTGCTGGCAAAATTCAGTTCCTTGTGGATGTAGGACTGAAGTCTCTGTTTTCTTGCTGTCTTTTGGCCAGGGACTGCTTTCACCACCTAGAAGCCACCTTCAGGTCCTAGTCCTATTGCCCTGTTATGGCAGTTAACAACATTAATGTTTGCTTTCTTCCAGGACAGCAGAGGTATCTGTTGTTTCTTTTGTCTGTTTTTTAAGGCTCACCTGATTAAGTCAGATCCACCCAGGATAATCTCCCTTTTGACTAACTCAAAGTCAACTGATTAGGAACCTTAATTACATCTCAAAGTTCTCTTTTGCCACATAATACTAATCACAGGAATAATCATACCTCCTCATATTTGCAGGTCTCACCCACACAGAGAAGATGAGCTTATACAGGGCACGTACAACATGGGGTGGAAATGTTGGAGGCCGTCTTAGAGTCCTGTCTACCACAATATGCCTCTTTGTGAGAGAAAATGATAAGAAGGTCCATCATCTGTCTTCAGAGTTGGAACCAGTGAGGTGACAAGCACAGCCACTCATTGTGGTTGTAGATTCCCACCTCTTCCTGCGACCTCTGTATGTAGTCTTTTTCCAGAATTTAGGAGAGGAACACCTCCTATAACTCAATTATGAAGAACAAACCACAAAATTCCACAAAAATGAAAATGTCTACCCAATCAAAGTCTACTTCTTTTTCTTTTTTTTTTTTTCTTTTTTTTCAAAGTCTACTTCTTTAAGGACTTGAGTGATTGGGGGAAGAAAAGAGAATATTTACCACTGGGAGGTGGGGTGAGTTGTGTGGACAAGATTCCTCCCTTCTTAACACCTGTGTCTTCTATGGCTGCTCTGCTTCTCCTTAGTACTGCCCTGCCCCTTTTGCATACATTAGCAAAGGGTGGTTGCTCAGGGGTAGATGTAGCCCCTTGGTCATATGACCTGACAAGTAGGGTAGGAGCTGAACTTCAGCCCACTCTCACCCTCAGAAAATTGCTTGGTTTTCCTGCCTCCTGAGCCTTCTATTTCTATCACACACTATTCATCTTCTAAATATGCACAACACTCCCTTGCTCCCCACCATCACCAAAGGAAAAAGAAAACCTCAGTCCTTGGTTTTCTCTCTTATCTTCCCTTCATGAGAATTTCTATCCTCCTATCAATGGAAGTTTTCCTGCTGGCTCTCTGTGTGGATGACTCCAATCTACACCTAAAGTCTCAACCTCCCTGCTCAACTCAGTCCCTTGTCCAAATGTCCTGGACCTCATTCAAACAAGCTCACAATGGGCACATTCTTTTCCCCAAGGCTGGCCCCATAGTGCTGTCATTGGGGACATCCTCCTCCCTGTTATTTCACTACAAACCTAAGAATCACCCTTAGCCATTCCCTTCTGCCTCTTCTCACACAGTCCATCTGCTTCTCACCTGCAGGCCCCGTGCCTTTGTCTGTTTCTTGCCAGTCTCACTGCTCCACACTGATCTAAGCCCTTAGTATCTGACATTCACCTTGTGTTTCAACGATTTTCTGATCATGGTCTCCTCCGTTTCCTCTCCTACTAGTTCTCAACCTGGGGGTAGTTTTGCAACCCTAGGGTACATTTGGCAATACGTGATGACATTTTTTATCAACACAACTGGGAGTGGGCTGCTGTTAGCATATAGAAGGTAGGGACCAGGGCTGTTGCTAAACATCCTACAAAGGAGAGGACAGTGCCCCAAACAAATAATTATTCTACTCCAAATGTCAGTTGTGCTATGACAAAGAAACTCTGACCTATGCCAATTCCTACAAGCTTCTTGAATGTTACAGCCTTACTCTTCTTAAGAAAATGCACTGTGTACATATTGCCTCCTCACTGGAAAAAAAAAATATTTCCCATTTCCTATATCCACATGTCTACTTCTGCTTAAGATGATCTCCCCCTTCCTTTTCTACGCTGGTGTGTCCTCCCTTTCTCTTAAGGCCCATAGCAAGCTCTCTGGCCTGTGTGCTGGGCTAGTCTCCATTTGTCTTGCTAGGTCCACTCTCTAGTCTCCCTTCTCTAGCCTGGTGTCTGCACCAGAATTGTATCCCCTGGGCTTCCTTGCTCTCTAGTAGCTGGTTGGATTTGGCCTTTTGGCGGTATCAGCAGGTGATTATACATTGGGTATGTATTTCCCAGCTCCCAAACTGAGCTTCTTGCTTTGCCTCCATAGCCTCAGCTACTGTCTAGCACTCTGTCTTCCATGGAACCAGTTCTCATGTGGCTCCAATAACATCATTCCCTCCCTTGCCTTGTGGGTAACGGCTTCCCACAATTGCTAGTCCCTAAGTCCACCACTATGATTGGTTCACTCAACTCTGCCAATTCTCTGGTAAATATTTCCATAGTCAAACTCTTTTGAGTATGCCATCTGCTTCCTGCCAGATCCTCAATGATGCTCAGTCACTTAAGAATTCTCTCTTCTCTTGGCTCTCATACAAAACTTACAGTTGGGACCACTCCTCTCTCATTCAGCATGTATACCTTGATACTGCTGTGATCCACTTACATCTAGTATTTTCATGGTTTCTAACCATGTTGCAAACTCCTGTAGGTCAGGGCTATCTAATACAACATTTCCACTCTCCTCACATAGTGTCTGCTCAATCAATGTTTACCAATGAAAATTATAATTAAAATATGTTGGAAAATTACATTATTTTATAAACAAAGTGACTTTACATGATTTATTTTCTTTTGTACCACAGTTATTTGAGGTGATTCTTTTTCTTCTCATGTCAGATGGGTAATGTGACATGAGAAGAAAAAGTTATAACAAGGTTTGAGGATGTCACATCTCATACACGTATGTGAACACCCAATCAGCACGCTTAAAACTACAAGAGGAATGAAGTGATTTTGAACACAGTAACTTTTCCATGACATTTGTAAACCGGCATGTGCTTTGGGACTTGAGTTCCGCTGCTCCAATGCTCTGTTTTGCTTACTTCCTGGTTCTTGATGGCATGCTGTGTATTTGTGGCGGCTGCATAAGGAACTCTGAGTAAAACTGGTAATTTCTCTACTGGCTTCCTTCATTGAAACCAGTATTCTCTCCCTTCAAAGCCCCTTGCTGCGTTATGCTATACCTAGTCTGCAGGGAGCAGATATTCCATGTGCTTCCTATGTCTAAAGGCTGCTGCTGCACCATGCCCAAACATGTGCTTCGTAATGCCTTTCTGTCCCATGATTCACTTCAATGAGTTTTTATTTAAATATTTAATGATGTAAAAAGTGGTGTAAGTGCCCCCTTAGGGAATCTTGGTAAAGTACAGGGATGTAATCAAATGGTTTGCAAATTGTTCTTATTTCTTTATAACTCTAATTTTAAAAGGACCAGAGTTATAAAAGGGATGTTCACATTTCACAGAAATGTTATCCTAAGGAATGAGGGACAATTATTCCTAGGAAAAGGGGGCAATGCCAGATCATTTCCTAGAGTTATTGTGCCTTATCCATCAGTGTTGTAACAGTTTTTGTGGGAGTGATTTGAAAAGCTTTTCCTTTTGCTCTCTGCAAAGATGTCTCTGTCTGCTTAATTCTGCTGTGAGGGTCTCAGTTTAACCTCATGGCTCTGGTTATTTTCATGCCAAAATGTACACCCAAAATCTGTTTGCTCTTTACCAGAATGATGAAGACGATGATTAGAGAGGAATAGTAGGCATTCTGGTTCACAATCCGCCTTGATAATTTCATGGAAGGGCTTGGAAAATATGAAGCTGAAATAGAGGCTAAGTGCCCAGGGCCATGCTGTGATTTTTGTGGGCAGTAGGAACTTTTGCCTTTTTGGACCCCTTCCTCCATTAAAAATATGAAAAATTTATATTTTATGACTGTGTTGGCATAATGGTAAATACATGAATATAATATGTTAAAACATTTTTTATACCCCAACAGTATTTTGGTCCTTAGGTACTGTGTCTCCTGTGCCTAATGAATGAGTTGGCCCTGTTTGTGAGCAATGGGAAAAGAATGTATCTTAACTCCTTTTTTAGGGTTCAAAGATACAAGGTTCCAGTCTGTTCGGAATGATGGCTGAGTTGGGAGGTTATAATCAAAAATAAGGCAAATTCCTGTTCTTCCTCTGAGCGGCTTTGGAGGGCTTTGAAGGAGTGGGCATCTGTGGACCACAAAGCTTGGCCACTTCCCAGATATGGGCTGCTCTTCACCTTGTCCTAGAGTGACATCACCTTCTCCATAGGTGACAGATAGTGTGATAGTCTCTACTCTGGGAGGGTCCAGGGTGACTGTCTCCATCCCTTAGATGGAGAGCCTCAAGCATGGTGAGATGAGCCTGGGTAGCTTACTCTTCTTCCTCTGAATCAGATTCTAATGCCTTGCTGCTTCCTTGGCAGCAAGAAGGAAACATCTTTAAAATGTTTTTTTTTTTCCTGACAATAAAAGTGATACTAGTTTATTATGAAATTTTTAAAAATATAAGAATTTGAGAGATTTTTTAAAAAAGAACAACTCCTTTGATCCTGCCTCCCAGAGCCAACCACTGCTAACTGCTTCATGAGGTTGTATAAATGGGTACACCATACCACAGGTGGGACAGCACTATTTAAGCTTCCGGGAGCCAGCCAGAAGTACCTGTCATTGCTGCTATTTCTGATGTCTCTCTCAACTGTAAAATGGCTGGATTTTATAATATTCTCCCTTCAAATCCCTACAAGCTACAATGTTAGCTGGAAAAAGCAGATTGCAAAATTTTTATACAGTGAGATACAAGTATGGAGAAACATGCATAAAAAATTGAGGAAGGTAATAGGTAATTGTATCAACAGTGGTATTAGCTGTCCCTCAGCCATGAGAGCTCCTATGTGGGTGAGGAACAGCTTTTTTGGGGGATGGTAGCTTTTCAGCGCCACGTAACATCCCCCAGAAGACAATTTCCTCATTTTCCTTTGAATAAAATTGCTCCTGTTTGCACTCCTCAGAAGAGGGCAAAAGGAACTGTGATCTCTCCATGCCTGAACTTCAGACCTTTGGAGGTCGTTGTCCTCTTTCATTTCCTCTTCCTTGTGCCCACCCATGAAACAGCAGTTTCTTCAGGCTTCTATTTGTGTTCGAGGCTGGCAGTGGGTTTTCCCAGACATCTTCCTGGGAACATCAATCTATTCTCTACATAAAAGCAAAGATACAATTAAAGCTACACGTCAGAGAGCAATGAAAGGAACTAACAACTCCACATTACCATGGAGAGGATGCTACTGAATAAGGTCAGTTTCTGCTAGAAGACACTTCTTACTGTTGCCACAAATGCAGAAAAGCAGCTCCTGGTGCCTATGCAGCCAATCAAGCCTAGCTTATCTGAGAGACACAGGCATCTGCAGACAAAAGTATTTTGTTTTCCTCAGTGGCTTGATCCAGTGTTTTACCATGTTTCCCTTAGCTCTTACCTAATCTTGCCTACTTAAGTCATCATTGCATGTCTATTTTTCCTGATGAAGACAAGACAGAGAACATTGGCTTGTGCATCCTGACACAATAACCTTTGAAGCTTGATGCTGGGTTTTCTTCTAAAGTGTCTATATCATACCCTGAATATTAGAATACCACCAGATTAAGGAACTTTGAGTCTAGATGGTACATTCAATAATTTAATTCAACACTATTTGTTTGAGCATACTGTGTGCTCAGCAGGAAAGAAATAGTCAAGGGGAACACAGTCTGCACCAGAAGTCATTAGCATGTGCTACATCAGATGCTGGGCGCCAAGATCCCAAGTCCTCTTTTGGTTTTCAAAGTGAGCTTTGAAGTCAGATAAACTTGGGTCTAATTCATTTTTTGCCACTTCCTTCTTCTGTTACCTAGGCTAAGCTACTCAACTTGCATGAGTCTCAGTTTTGCTACCCACAAAGTGGGGACAATAATACCTATTTCACACGTTGTAGAATAAGTGAAATTATTTAAGCAAAGCACAATTCCTAAAGTGTAAGTTACTCTGTAAATGTTGCTTCTTCCTTGAGGTTTTATGATGATTTGGTGATGGGGACATCAGAGATATTGAGTATCATACAAAATTAGTTTTTAATTTGAAAATGTAAATTTGTACATGTATTGTCTACTTTGTGGATTAACTACAAATCCAAATGGGCTTCCCACAAACTCAGGTTATAACTTATCATTTAATATGCCAGCATTCATTTGTTTATCCAACTAATATTTAAATATCTTTTATGACACAGTCAATGTATGTGTGGGGAATAAATGCTGCCTTTAATATAAGCTTAGTCCAGACATAATCAGGAAAGGAAATCTGCCATAAAGAAAATCCTGTATGGAAGGCATTTTTGGGACAGTGGAGCATAGGTTCAGAAAAGCACAGCTACCAGCAGAGACACTCCTCAAATGCTCGCAGAAAAGAATGCTAACAAATGCCTGACTGCAGAAGAATCTTGGGAGCCTGGACTTGCCTCTCACTCTTGAATTGCATTTATTCTGGGAACTAAGCTGAGTGCTGTGTCAATCTGCTATGACGGAGGCAGAATTATAAATAGAATATGTGCTAGAAATAGAAAATAAGGTAAAAGATGGCATTTTTGGGCTTTCACAGCTTCCCTCGCCCATCTCCTTCAGCAGAGGGAGAAAAGTCATCCAGTTTTGGTGAAGGCATAAAATTCAGAAGCCATCATTCCAAGAGTAGTGGAAGGGAGGGGGGAACTAGAAAGTATGAAAGTGGTGAAAAGTATAGAACTGGGAAGAGTTGAGTGATATGTGAACAGAAGGGTGGGAGGGTAAATTGGCCTCCTGGGCAGATGAGAGAAAATCAGAGAGAAGAACCCAGGGCTAGGACACAAAATGAAGATTTACCCAGCTGGAGAGAAACTTGAAATAGCAAGATAGTAATAACACATGGCCAGACAGGGATTGGGTTGGAAAAAAGCTTAAGCCCTAAAAATGGAATTAGGTGGGAAGGCTAATATGACTGTGACATAAAAGACCCAGGCCTGATCAGTAGCATTTCCAGGTAGCTCCATTTACCCTTTTCCCCAAAGCAGACCTTGACCTTCAGCTTTCAAGGTCAATATCTTCAAAGGTATTTTTGAATCTGTAATGAGGTGTCATTCCATCAGGTATGGGGAAGGGTGTTCTAGCTATGGTTGAGGAAAGCTTAGTGGGAAAAAGTCTTGAAGTCAGAGGTGGGTTCTGGTCCTAGCATTGCCATCAGCTAGACATGTGACCTCAAATAAGTCACCTGACTAGCCTCTGTGAGCTGGTTTTGGATATCATCTCTACCATGAACTACCTGTTTGATTTTGATCTATTTACTTCCCTTATCTTTGAGCTGTCATAGCTTTCTTTCCTTCAGCAGAGGAAGAAAAACCATCCATCCAGTTTTGGTGGAGGCAAGAAATTCAGGAACCATCATCCCAAGGTAAGTGGAAGGAAAGGAAGAAATTAAAAGTATAAAAGTGGTAAAAAGTATAGAGATGGGAGTGAGACATAAACATAAGGGTAGGTGGGTAAGTTTGTTTCCTGGGCCTTTCTAGCTAGTCTTCATTTTTTACAAATCCATAAAATGATGGGTATTAGACTCTATGTCTTAAAAGCTGCTACCTGATGAAATTGTACTCTTTAATACTTGAATGAATACTTAGGGTGAGAGAGAATAGTGATCCCTAACTTGTTCTGCAATAGGAACAGCTCTCATAGAGGTCAGTCAGCTGAGATGCTGCATGAATGACAGCTTTAAGTCCTGCTATAGTCAGAATATGTCTCCTCTTCACCTGGCAGAGATCCATGCCTTCCACCATTGCTCTGTTGCAGGGGTACCAACTTTGGATTTGTGCTGCTTGAGTGGGGGAGCTCCCACAGTGTCTGTTCATACAAGAGGGCTTTTAGCAGCTACTCACCCAGAATAATTTGGGAAGAAGTCCTATAGATGCCATAAAATGGAGGTTTCTCCAGGAATCCTCAGGAGAAATGTTATAACAGCACTCTGCTAAGGATATGAGATGCACCTAGTTATTCTGTAAGTAGAAGGTATGGAATTGCAGGTATGGTTCTGCTTTTTGCCCCAAAGTGATCAAAGTTTTGCAGCCCAAACAAGTTGCAGTTCAGAGAACACGCAAGTACATTAATGTTCAAAAGTATAGTATGAAGTGGTACTGCCCAAATTCATTAATCAGGAAGAGCCACGTGGTATATATAGGAACTTGCATTCTTTTATCTTACAAATTACATTATCAATTCACCTTGATGCAATAATGTGTCCTCCCATTGATCCTTGAGCTTTACTAAGGTAGTTTCTTTGGCCAGAGTTCCTTTGAGGTCGCTATAAATGGAATCCAACCTACCTATGGAGATGCTATGGCTTCTGCTCTGTTTTCTTCTCATCTATTTCTCAGCCCTGAAGGAACTAGTATGCAAAATCCCATCCCCACTAGAGAGATAATGTTGAACCTTATCAGCCTTTATGACTTTATCTAGTAAGATACTTCTCAAATAGCTCAGATAATCTGTCCCAATGTATTCCTGATTTTGCCCAATCAAATACACTTCTGACAATATATATAAATTTAGACACTGGGCCAGTGGGTCACACTGTCTGGGAGGCATCAGTATTGGAGGCTAGGAGTCCTGGCCAGGGGAAACAGGAGACTTGCTGTTTTATTAAGGATTGTATACAGCACACTTATATCTGGGAATGAATGTGGGTCTTGGTCAGAAACCATCTTTGTGGGAAACCGAGGGCATTTCCAGTATGCAGTGTCCTCTCTGCTGGGGTATTTTGTCACAGTGACAAAGTGTGGTGTTTTGCGAAGCTGATCAACTACCATCACCTCTTAGAAGGAGGTAAATCCATTATAAAGATTGATTGATAGCAGGGTCAGACTGACTATGGCTTGCAATTGGAGCCCTGTTTGGGTTAAGGTCTTGCTCCCTAACTCAAACAGAAGTGCAGCCCTGGACAGGTAGCATTAGCATCATCTGAAAGTTTGTGAAAAAGCAGTCAAAGGCTTCATGCCAATCCTGCTGGATCCAAACTCCATTTGACAAGATTCCCAGGCAATTTGTATGCCCATTAAAGTTTAAGAGGCCCTGGGTTAGGGTGCTTCTTTTGAAAAGAATGTAAATATCTCTTCTAGAGGCCAGTCATTTATATTGTAATAAGACAGCTTAATCAGAATACTTCTCATTTTTCCCTTAGCTAAAATACACCAGAATGGGAATTTTTGTTGCAAGGAACAGAGTATCACCAAACTCCCAACTTCTGACCACTACTGTAACTTCAGCTTTTACCATGGGGATCTAGCAAGTAGTAGGATCAACTCTTATTTTGCCATTTGGCTGAATAACTGATTTGCCATCAGAAAAAATGTTTTGCTCAGGTGTGGTGGGCAGAATAACAGGTCACCAAATGTCCATGTCCTAATCCCTAGAATCTGTGAATGTTACCTTACATGACAAAGGGGAGTAGAGGTTGCAGAAAAAAATTAAGGTGGCCAAGCTGCTGATTTTAAGATAGAGAGATTGTCCTGGACAATCTATCCAGGTGGGCCCCATATAATCACAAGAGGCCTGAAAAGTGGAAGAGGGAGGCAGAAGAAAAGGTCAGAGTTAGAGTAGGAGATGTGAGAAGGACTAGCCCTGCCCTTGCTAGCTTTGAAGACAGGAGAGCCATGAGTTGAGAAACGTGGGCGATCTCTAGAAGCTGGAGAAGGCAATGAAACTCCCCTAGAGCCCTCAGAAAAGAACACAGTCCTACCAACACTTTGATTTTTGCCCAATAAGACATGTGGTAGATTTCTTACCTACAGAACTGTATGACAATACATTTATGTTTTAAGCTATTAAGTGTATAATAATTTGTTAGGGCAACAATAGAAAACCCATAATGCAGGAAACAGTTCATTTGTTTTGAATATGAAAAACAGACAAAATGCTAGAATTATATCTAGTTTTTTCCTTGTTTATATCTTTTGGAATTCAGATGCACATGTTTGAGGTAATCCTCCTTCTCAATTTGTGGAATATTATCACCTATTCATAGAAGAACTAACCTTTCTCTGAAAACATGTTTTAAAGGTTTATTGTTTTTTCTCCTTCATCTATCATTCCTAATCCCACTGCCCTCCTCCCATAGGCATCCACTCTAATACATTTAATGTAATTCTTCCAATCCATCCAACATATGTTTATTTAGGTACATGAGTGCCCCTACAAAAATATACAAGGCTGCTTTATGTGTGTGTTTGATACATGAATGGAATTGTGCAATAAATCCCATTCTGTTTTTGCTTTTTTCCTCTGAACTCAATTTCTGAGATCAATCCAGGTTTCTAAATTAAAACATAATTCATTATCCTATTGTATACACATACTACATCTTACCTGTACATTCCTTAGAGATGGACACTTAGGTCACCTCCAGCAGGGTGGTAGTGAAGCTTGTTAGGAACATCTTGTGTTCCCAGGGAAGAATTTCCCCAGATGTATACCCAGGAGTGGGTTTGGTGGATTCAAGGTGCACAATTGTCCTTCAGAATGGCTGCACCTGCAGTGGGTGAGGATTCTCTTTCCCCACCTTTTTTGCCAATGCTTGGTAATATCTGACTTAAAAAGTGATATGCAATGGCAACAACTACCTATGAAAGGAAGTGCTACATAAGTGACTTAGTAGAAATCATGTCATAAATGCAGAATGAGCAGGGAAAAGTTTAAAAATAATTCTTAGAGGAAGAGAGTCTTACAAGCAGGACAGATGTGGCTGGGAAGAGGAAAGCCCTCCAGGCAAAAAGGATGTATGTGTGGCTCACCATTGAGTGGTCTTTATCACCACTGAGATCACCCTTCTTCTGACTACAGCTATATGGAACTGTCTAGTCTATTTCCAGCCTGAGATTTTTGCCTAACTTCCCTGGGCACATGAGGAGCTCTCTTGACTCAGCTTCCAACTCCTTCTCTGCTTTAACTTCCTCTTTGCCACTTTACAAATTTGTGTGATTTAATGACTTTTAACAGATGCATACCCCTGGGAAACCACCATTATTAACACGTGAAACATTTCCATCATTCCAAAAAGTTCCCTTGTATATGTTTGCAGTTCATCTTGCCTCCTGCACTTAGCATCACATAACTACTGATTTGCTTTCTGTTACTTCAGAGAAGTTTATATTTTCCAGAATTTTATATAAATGGAATTGTTTAGTATGTACTCTTTTGTGTCTGGCTTTTTCTACTCAGCATAATTATTTTGAGATCTATTCATTTTATTGGCATATCAATAATTCATTTATTTTTATTGCTGAATAGTATTCCATTGCATGAATATATGGCATTTTGTTTATCTTGTTGAGGGATGTTTTGGGCTATTATTAAAGCTTCTATGGATATTCATGTATAAGCTTTTGTGTGGACATATGTTTTTATTTTCTTAGATAAATACTTAGGAGTTCAATGTCTGGGTCATATGACAGGTGTATGTTTAACATTGCAAGAAACTACCAGCTGGGTGTGGTGGCTCATGCCTTTAATCCCAGCCCTTTGGGAGGATGAGACAGGTGGATCACCTGAGATGAGGAGTTCTAGAACACCCTGGCCAACATGGCAAAACCCTGTCTTTACTAGCCATACCCTTTTTCAAAGTGATCATTCCATTTTACATTCTCAACAGCATTGTAGGAGAATTCCAGTGGCTTCCACATTCGTGTCAAGGGTTGGTATGGTCAGTCTTTTAAATTTCTTGCCATTTTAGTGACTGTGCATTGGTATTTCTTTGTGGTTTATTTGCATGATGATTAATGCTCAACATCAACTAATCATGTTGAGCATTTTTAATGTTCTTATTTGCCATTCATATATCTTCTTTGGTGAAGTTTCTCTTCAAATATTTTGCCCGTTTTAAAATTGTGTTGTGTTCTTATTATTGAATTGTAAGAATTCTTTCTATTCAGATATAAATCCTTTGCCAGATATGTGTATTACAAATGTTTTAAGCAGCTGGGAATGCAGGTGTGCACCACTACTCCAGGCTTTCTTGTTTTTTTTTTTTTTTTTTTTTTTTAATGTAGAGACAGGGTTTTGCCATGCTGCCAAGGCTGCTCCCAAACTCCTGGGCTCAAGCAATCCTCCTGCCTCAGCCTCCCGAAGTGCTGACATTAGAAGTACGAGCCACTGTTTCTGCCTAACTTTTCATCTTTTAAAGTAGTATCTTGCAAAGAACAACATTTAAAAATTTTAATGAAGTCAAATTTATCAACTTTTTGATTCATTATCCATGCTTTTTGCATAGTAAGAAGTCTTTCCCTACCTCAAAATTGCAAAGCTTTTCTACTATGTTACCTTCTAGAAATACTATTAGATTTTTACATCACTTGTGCTTATTCTTAACTTCCTCATTTGGTGTCTTGGATCCTTGGGTCCATGGAGCGATTCTGGAAGGGTTAGTAATATGTCTTTTTGCTTGCAATGGGAGCAAACTTTAGGACCTAACTGAAGACCTTTGATTACATGATCAGCCATTTGGGCTTGCAATTACATAAACATAACGAAGAAAATTTCAGTAGGAGAGTTCTCTCCTACTTAGGTACTGTAATAGAGAATATGACTAGTTGTCCTTTTGGGAACCTAAATTGAATCTATATCCCTCTGAATAAAAGTGGGTGGGATGCAAGGAGCTGATTTGGAAGATGTTCTTGCTGAAATACCTGGGGAGAAAAGGGGGCCCAGGAGGGAACAATGTGTCTGTCCTGGATATTCATGATGAGCCCAATTCTAGCAAGTCAAGCAGAAGCTGAAGGATGTGATTTCATAACTGATGTGAGACAGAAGAGTACAGAGGCACTGCATTGGCACCTGGGAGGAAAGTGTCTTAAGGGGGAGGAAGAAGACACTTTTCCCCACTTCAAGTAGACTCAGCATGGTTTTAGCCAGAAAACACCCTGGGAAGTCTAGGGCCACTTTGGCATTGTGGGAGTTTGCAGCTCTGTTTCTTCCAAGAGCACAGATATTAATGTAGCACAGATATTAATATTAATATTAATTAGCACAGATATTAATGTCATCACAGAAAGCAAAAGAGATGAAAAAAAGACAGGTTATTCAGTGCAGGAGAGATTCCCTTTGGGATTTCTCAAAAATGCAGAAGCAGAGGCTGTAGCCCAAGCTTGGAATATTGCCAGGAGCAAGGCAGAAAATGAGGCTTGGGTAAGCTGAAGGTATACTTACAATGGAAATGACTGGCCCAAAGGAGTGATACAGATTACATAGAAGAGGGACAGGCAAATGGAGTAGGCAAGACATGTTCTCTGAGTGTTGCAGCCACCGAAAAGCCAAGGTACAAAGGCAGGGAGTTATCTGAATTGCCTTCCTGGAGGGTCACGCATTTAGGATCTGACTCACTGATTCTTTTCCTTAATTTTGCTCTGTAGGTTTCTCTAAGAGGGCTAATCTGTGTCAAGGTTTGATAATATCTGAAAAAGCATTCTGGTGCCAAAGTATCATCTCACAAATTATTTAGAAATTGCAAAGAGACAGTGTACTTTATAATCCAGATATCTGGCAGTTAACCACATGATCAAATTTAGCATCACTAACAGTAGGACAACTAGATATTATATAGCTCTTGCTGTGATAGATTATGAAGTACACAACATCAACTATGAAGTATTCTTTTTTTTTTTGATAGGGTCATGCTCTGTCACCCAGTTTATAGTGCAGCAGCACAATCATAGCTCACTGCAGCTTTGACCTCTGAGTATCTTTTCTCAGAGTCAAACGTAGACAGATTGAAGCCCTTAGATAGTAACTATGAGATGGCCACCCTCCCACCCCTGTAAGCATTTTGAGCACTGCTATAAATGATGTGGAAACCATTGTTTTCAGAGGATCTGCAAAAAGGAGAAGCTCCAACTTGGAGAAGTTAGTACTCGATAAAGCAGTATTGTTGCTGACCTCGCTAAGGCTGTGTCCAGCAACCAAGACCTCAGCTAGAAGTGGAGGTGTTGTGAGCTATAATAAAATGCTTAGGCACTCAGAGGAAAAATTACAAGTACCAATGATGGCTTTCATTAACAGCCAAAGAATCACATGATGAAAAGTTAAAAGAAGCACAGCTTACCTGGAGGAATCATCTACTACCTTTCCTTCTGTTTAACTCGTTTTTTTTAACCTGACAAAACAGAGGTTCAGATCATAGGCATAATTCAGGTCCTGTAATTTGGAGTGTTATGGAGACAAAGTAACTGAGATTGCTTTGGCATTATCACTCCCAATTTAACCACTCTGTAAACATTTTATAATACAGATGAGCTCAGGGAAGGGCCAGGGTAGAGGTGAGACTTGGGGATAAAGAGAACAGAAAGTAGTAATCTCTTGAAGTAAAACAGAAACCTCTGGCTTCCGACTTAACTGGATGTTGGATGAGTCTCATGCTGAACCAACAGAAGCTGAGCCACTTGCAACTTTGCAGCTTCTCCTGAACTCTGGTCTTTGGCCAACTTCCTGAAATAATCAAACCATCCTTGGCACATAGTTAAAACTATTTCCTTTGATGCCTCACTGTATCTTTTCAAAAAGGTTTAGAAAAGAGGCATGGCCTTTAGCTGAATAGTTGTTTGTTTCAGAGGATATTGACCTACTGCATCTGATCAGGAATTAGTTTATCCTATATTCCTATTACCACTCATTACAATAACCTAGTGTTAAGGGACTTAGCATGATGAGGGAGTGAGGTAGTTGTAAATATGTATTTTAAATATAGACTTTGTCCTTACATTTGGATTCTCATCTATCCCCTAGAGTCTTTAAGGAAATACAGCTTCTCCAATACTTTCTCAAACAGTTGTTGAGAATCATTCTTTGCAGTGAGAAATATTACTGATGTGGATCCAGAAAACAGTCTGATAGCCACTGCAGTAGGGGTATGAGGAGGAGGTGGTGGTTGTGTGTGCTCTCAGCTCAGTTATCTGCTTAGCCTGGACTGTAAACTCAAGCTCATGTGCAACACAACCTTGCACCTCAAAAATACCTGGGACAGTTGCTCAGTGAGTGGTGGTACATTTAACTTCCTTCCAATTTGGATTTTCTCATCTGGAAATATGGAGCAAGTATGACAAACACTGAATGCACATCCTTCAGGCTGCCTTACCATTTCGGTGTTTTCCAGACATCTCCCATCTGCCCGCATTTGCATCTCGGTGCTTGAGGACCTTACCTGGACCCCTGGAGGGTCACAAGGTTTTAAGATACATGGCAGTAAAGAAGCGCTGGAAAATTAACTGCTCTGTCCCCCAGGAACATCCCTCAACCAATGAATGGTGGGATTTGACATACAAATATCCCAACAACCTCATCCCTTGGGTGGAATAATTCTGAGGTGTGTGTCTTATACTGTTTCCCAGAGTTTCTCTGCAGGATTAAGCTATAGTTGTCCTCTGTAGTTGGCTTAATAATTCACATTTTATTGGCTGTCTTCTGTTCCCTGACTTGCTTACTCACTCTCTTGCTGGTATTTCCTTGGATTATCTCCCAAACAAACTACTTGTTCTCAAATCCTTGTTTCAAAGTCAGCTTCTGGAAGACCCCAAACTAAGACTCCAGTATAAGTTAGCATCATTAAACACACATTGCTGGAGAGCTGCTAAGGGAGAGAGATACTTTCTCCTCTTCTTACTTCTCCCTCCTCACATCCAAGGCAGTGGGGCTTGTGCTGAGATCTGTGAGCTGTACTGGACGTTCTCTCCCCCATGTAATCTCTGCCCTGTGAAGACAGACCTTAGGGAGGCTTTTCCTCTTTGTTATACTTCAGGCACCATACTCATCACATGACCCAGCAATTGCCAGGCCTTTGCAGTCTCGAGATGGCCTTTTCACATGTTAACCCTCACAACAACCCCAAAGACAGGTCTTATAGGTCCCTATTCAGTAGGTAAGGAAACTAAAGTTCCAATGTTTTCCCAGGATCACTTGGTGGTATATCCCTGCAGGCCAACTGGAATTTGAAGCAAGTGACACAAGCTGGAGACTCTTATTTTCTCTACATGGACTGAAGTTTCAGTAAAGACTCAGTAAACACAGTAGATTTTTCTGCGTTTGGGTTTTGAAAGGTCACTGGACCAGGCCAGAAAAGAGGAAGCAGAGAACACATCAATTCTCAGAGTGTTCAGATATGTGGGATTCTTCCAAGTTCTCTCTGGACTGGGTCTATTGCCCCACAGAACATAGATGGCATCCTGAATAAGATCAGGTCTTCCAAAGCAGACTCGGGGTTGGAATTTTTGCTCCATCATTACCAGCCATGCTACTTTGGGTGAATTACTTAAGCAGTCTGAACCTTAGCTTCCTCATCTATAAAACAGAGATAATATTTCTCATGGGGCTGCTGTGAGGATAAAATTAGATTATGTACCCAAAACTCTTCATACAGAAAAGCTTTCCCCCCTGGATCTCTCATGCACTCCCTGGATTTTCTAGGGGAGTCTGGCTTCTCCAATACCTCCTTAAACAGCTGTTGAGAATCACTGTTTCTAATGAGAAATATTATGACTGTGGAGCCAGAAAAAATCTGACAGCCTTTGCAGCAGGGGATGAGGAGGAGGTGGTTGTGTGTGTCCTCAGCTCAGTGGTAGGTGCCTGGCATGTAGTAGGAACAAAAAAGAAAAGAGAAAAAGTAGCTATTATTAGAATAGTATTCATAACTTCATTTTTTTGGCATAAATTAACAATTTAACAAAAAACAGACATTATTTTTGTTGGTGCTTTACCAGAAACATTGCTGTTTTCTAATTGCTTCTGGTAGTAGTTTGTTATTATTTTTTTCTTTTTGGTTTATTTTGCGTAAAAGGACTAAGTGAGATGGGTCTTTGCAATGTTTTTTCTTTCCCACTGACTAGCTGGTCAATGCTCCTTTGAACCCCAGCCCACCCCCCTGACAAAAAAAGGAAAAAGAACAAATTGAGAACTTATAAAACCACAACCGAGAGACCTGAATGTTTTTCATTTTAGCTTTTCTTGGAAAAACTTGATGAAAAGCCTGTGCTGTGGTTTTAAATGGCATTGGGATGCCCATCTCCTATCCCTACCCCTAAGCTCCTGAACGTGACTTATATTTCCCTATTTAAAGCTTCTGCAGATTTATGAGACTTTAAACACCATGGTTGGAGTTACTGGAGGTTTAAAGGGATTAGGCAGGTCCAGCAGCACCTGGAGGTGTATAAGTTGTTTAAAGGATCTATCCGATTTTGCATGTTAAAATTCCCTTCTCAAGGATTCTCATATCCTGGATCTGAATCTATTTTGGGCAGAGGAGTACATTTTTAGGAGGTCTCATAAATGGAGAAAAAAACCCTCCCTCAATTGCTTCTTGCTTTGTTTTTCGGGCTATGCCTCTGCCCCCTCACCTCTCTATCTTGCATGTCTAGGTAGTTCTGACTCTGGGGTTTCCCTTCTCTCTGTTCTGTCCTTTCTCAAGCAGTTGATCTCTTGGTGTTCCTCTGTGTTCACAAACTCAGCCTCTGACCCATGAGCCTAACAGCAGCCAGAGACAACTGAAGCTTTCTTGCCTGCCCTTGGCTCCTTTCAGTCTAGGGAGGGGCACGGTGGGTGGGAATGCCTCATGACACAGGGTGACAAATCTCTGTGTTTACACCAGAGGGAGCAATGACTCCATGGCTGAGAGGGGCTGGCTAGAGTCTGGAGTTTCCAAATGTCCATTCAAGGCAAAACACACACAATTCCTGGGCAGTTAAACTTAGGGGACTCTGTATTGAATGACCTTGAAAATAGGTTCAGGGCACAACATGGGCACACACACTTTGTCATATTCTACAGACACTGGCAAGAGCCAACATTCTTCTCATTGCCAATAATTATGCTCACCAGCCTCCACGTCTTGCCTCTCACGTCTCTTCCACGTACCAGCTCTGCCCACCCTGTTAAATCAGGGTAGATGTAGGGAATGTGAGCACATTTTAATATCAGCCTGAACCAGACATCACTGGGAAGGAAATTGGAGAAACCATTCCAAAGTCAAGTAAAAATAACTTTTGTGAATACATTCTCATGGTTCCATTTATGTGACATCCTAGAAAAGACAAATCTAATCTATAGTGACAGAAAGCAGACTAGTGGTTGCTAGGGGCCAAGGTAGCGGCAGATTGGCAGAGATGGCACAAGAAGACTTTTTGTGATGTTGCAAGTATGCTATGCCTTGATTGTTGTGATGGTTGCACAGGTATATAAAGTTATAAACACTCACTAAAATGTACAATGAAAATGGGCGTGAACTATACCTTGGTTTTTAAATGTCTCTGTTGTACATCCACCCCACCCTTTACCTCCATTAGCACAGACGATAGGGAGCTGTGTGTGAATCTTAGAACACTTCCCAGTCCAGGGGTGGTTGTTCAACCAGCCTATGCTGTGTATCCATAGAGGGCACAGATAACGCAAAGCAGCAGATAAAACACCTAATTAGTTATAATTGACTCTGGACTTTTTCTGTGCATTTGCATTCCTGAATACAACCTGACTGACAGGAGCAGGGAGAGTAGGCAGCCAAAAACCGTGGCAGGGGAGGCCAGATCAAACAATTACAAGGAAGGAACAACAAAAGGTGACTGACCTCACAGATGATAAAGAATTGTTGACTCTGTAATGTGAACTGCATATCGCGCAAAGCAATTGGTGAGGTGGAGCAGGTGCACATTAGAAATCAAACCAACCACATGGAATAGTCAAGGCTTCTGAATGACAGGAGAGCTTCATCATCTCCATCTTTTCCACATCTCTAATTAAAATGTGGATATTACTTAAGTCAGGCACACTGCTCTATTGATTCCGACATCCAACTATCCATTTTAAAGTTGGCTAGGCTCACCCAGAGGATGATATGAATAGATTCAGAGATGGAGTGAGGGTTTAGAACACTGGATTTTTGTCCCTGTTTGTGTGACCTTCTGGAAAATCACTTGTTTCCTTTATTTGTTCCTTTATTCCCTTATTCAATAAAATTATTAAGGACCTATTATAAACCAGGCAGTTGGCAAGACATTGATGATATATCATTGTAGGCTTCATTTTCATCATCTGTAAATGCTCATTCTGGGATCCATGGATTATCTTGACCACTGTGCTAACGGTGGATAGTGATGGGGCCAGGCTCTGAGACCTTCAGTGCTGTGCCTCAGTGTTGAGCCTGTCTCAATATAAAAGGTAAGATTCTCCAACTTCCTTGGTCTGTATCTTTTTAGAGTGGCTCCAGATCACTTAAAGCATCTTTGCCATAAAAATTTCATGGAAATGAAATTAAGCATTTTAGTTTCATTTGTTGAAAACCGTTAAAAACCTCCTAAAACCATCTTAAAATTACATTCTTATTGCTTCAAGCTACAAGCTCACATAGAGGTATGAACTAACATTTGATCTAGGCAGTAAACCAGGGTTTTTGTCAGGCCTTTCTCCCTGATTTGCACTGTTCCCTGGCACACCCACCCCCTCACTAAGCAAAATTTAGAAGTCAACAGACACAAAATTGCTTCTCCCTTGAAATCATCCGCACACTTATTTTCAAGCATTCAAGATGTACAGGCTCTTTTCAAGCATACAAGATCTGTTCCCTTCCAGGTCATCAAATCAACTCTCAGAAAAGAGTCTGATAGAGTGAGATTCAATTTCTACCCCATCCATTTATAATGTGTGACCAAGGAAAGATCCCTAATTTCTTTGTCCCTCAGTTTCTTCATCCGGAAGTGGGTATAACAGTATCTACTTTGAGTTGTTGTGCAGGTTAAATAAAACGAACACCAAATGGATATAAAAATGCCTAGCCAATAGTAGAAAAGCAATGGTGGCTATTATGAAAGCCTAGCAGAGGTGAAGGCTGGAGATTAAAGAGGAAAGTCTGTGGTAGAGTAAGAAGCACTCCACTTATTCTTGGAATGAGGAATGAGGACCTACCTTCAGTCTTTGTTGAGTAGGTGACTCCTATGGAAGGGCAGGATCTTCAGATTATTAAGCTCAGAGGTAGGTATTATCTACCCGGGAGGACTGGCATTCTAAAAGGGGAAATATGTCATTCATATGTTAAAAATGGGAGGGCCCAGCACCCAGCTATAGGAAGAATGAATATGGAAGAATGGTGAAGAAAAAGCTCCAACCAGCTGTAGTGGCCTTATCAGCAGATGCCACCTTCAGATTACCTCCACATTCCCCTAGGAAAAGTTGACATCTCCTGGTCCTTTCCAAAGAAGGCACAGTCCCACCAACAGATGAAAATTAGTATCACAAAGAGGGCTGAGAACCTGAAGATGGAGCATGCCTGCTGATCCAAGACCAACAGACAACTGGCTCAGGCGGTGATTAAAGTTGGTTGGAATTCACAGCCAGTAGAACAATGACCCCAATAACGAACTGAACTTCAGCTAACCCTCCTGTTTCAAAGTCCGTCTTCTTCCCTCAACACGCACAGACAACTGTACTATGGAGATTTATGGTGTCGGCACCTGGAAGTGTTGGATTTCCTTGATTGCTGTTTAATAAACTCTAACATGTATGATTTGAACATGTAGGATACAAATTTACTTTTATATGCTAGGAACCCCAAATAAAAACCAACCAACAATATTGTAGAGCAGCGACAACATCTATCATTTTTACTGCTTTATATGAAGCATGAAGCACGGAGCTTCCTGAGTGTCTAACCATCCTGGTTTGCCTGGAACTCTCCTGGTTTTAGCCATGAAAATTTCTGTGTCTCAGGAAACTGCTCAGTCACAGATAACCTGAGATGACTGGTCACCTGGACTTGGCACATAACAGATAGTCAATAAATTTTTGCCAACCAAAACAAATGCATTAAATAAGCAATAGACGTGTAACTGGAATTACACGGCAATAAGCTATATTATCTACTTTGGATATGAATCCGCTTCTAATAGATACTGGTTCGAAGTTGAGTTTGATGAAACCAGCATACTAATTTGATGATATATAGACCAGTTTTCGACTTTCTATACCTTCTCATTTCTGCTCCTTTTTTTGACCTTAGTGTGTATATCTGGGCAATTAGCAACAGGGCCACACAGTTTCATACTGTCAAAACATAGTCAAACATGACTAAGATTTCTCAAGTTTATTTTCCTAATTATTAACTTTCCCATCCCATCTACATAGAAGCCGGGTGTTTTAATATGATCCATAACATACACTTGGTAAGGAAGGAATATTTGTGCAATCAAAGAAATTCAACAATCCTTTACTGAGTGACTGCCCTGGGCACTGTGCCGGGTGTTGCAGGGCATTCAAAATGAGTGAAAAAGGATCCTTGCCCTTAGCAGCTCTCAGCCAAGGGAGAGGACGTATGAATAAACAGACATGAATATTTATGATATGAAGCAGGTGGGTATACTATTTTAATGACTTTAATTGTGCCCCATATGACTATAGGAAAGAGGGAAATTGATTTTGAGGCATTATGGAATGTCCACTTGAAGGACATGGGATTTAGAGTGAGCTTTGAAGGAAGTACAGGACTTCAAAAGTTGGCTATTGGGTGGGGAGAATTTCTTTCCAGGTAGAAGGGAGAATAAGGGCATGGGAGTTAGTTGCATTAGGCCACTCACCACATAAACCTGACTACAGGGACTTAGCTAAACAGAGACATGCGTACAAGAAGCCCAAGGCTAATGCAGGATATTAAGGAGCCATCCATGTCCTGGGCTTCTTTTCTCTTTCTGCTCCACCATCCTTAGCCTGTGGCTTTGTTAATCTGTGTTCCCAGGGTGGTTGTTCCACCTCAAACCTCATTTGTGCACAAAGCAGGAAAAAGGAGAAAGAAAAAAGCGTAGGAAAGAAAGTGAAGAAGGAAAGAAAGGAAGGAATGGTGGGAGAAGGTGGAGCCTGTGTGAGGAGGGCAAAAATTTTCCCCAAATCCCTAGCAGACATTTTCTTCAGTCATATATCATGATAAGAAACAGGTTACATGGCCAGCCCTAGCTGCGAAGGATTCTGGGCAGGTGAGCATCATAGCTGCACATATTGCCCTCCTGAATATTATTATAGTTCTGTTAGTAGCAAGGGGGGAAGAATAGATTTGGGATAGGTGCTAAGCAGAGTTTGTGCCTTTGAGCAGAAGCCTAGAGATGAAGACAGGGCAGGGATTACTGGATAAATGGGAGAATGAAGAGCAGAATCTTGTGCATGGAATGGAGCAGGGGTATGTGTGTGTGCATGTCTGTGTGCGTGTGTGTGTTGAGGAGAGGACAGGACAGGACAAGATGGCATGGGATGGATTTATAGGTGTGGGGAGAAGTATCTGAAGAAAATAGTGGAAAAACATGTGTCAAATGCTAGAGATATGTGGCTTTAACCTGTCTTTTGAATTTCTCTGCAAAAGCTCCAGATCAGCCTGTTTCCTGTTTGATGGGATGGTGTGCATCCTTTACTCCCATCCTCTTCCCTCCTTGGTCTCATGTTATCAAGAACCTTGGATAGGCTGGGTGTGGTGCTCATGCCTGTATACAAGCACTTTGGGAGATTGAGGCAGGAGGACTGCTTGAGCCCAGGAGTTTGAGACCAGCCTAGGCAACATAGGGAGACTGTTTCTACAGTGTGGGGTAGGGGGAAGAACTTTGGATAGTTGTATTAAAAATGCCACTGTCAAACCTGTACCTTCATGTCAGTATCAGAAGATGATGGAAACACATCCTTTTCTTTCCCTCAAATTTACCTCTTATCTATATTTCAATTTTACATTATTATGCATATATTATACTGGTTGACTCTTTTATTTCCCTTTAGTGCCATACAATATCAACAGCATAAAACAATTGCGATTTTAGTTTTGTTAACTTCTAATCAGGAGAAAAAAATATATATACAGAAACATAATTCTAATCAGAAATATACAATATATATTTTTCTATATATATCTGATTAGTATTTATCAATCTAAAATCATATTTTATACATACGCACATACTCCCTCCTCCCCTGCATATATTTTCCAACTATAACAGTCTTTTTTTTTTTGGATAGATTTTGAGACTCTATTTTATTGTCAGCATTGTAGTTTTCTCTTTTTTTTATTATTACACTTTAAGTTCTGGGATACATGCACAGAATGTGCAGGTTTGTTACATAGGTATACATGTGCCACGATGGTTTGCTGCACCCATCAACATTAGATATTTCTCCTAATGCTATCCCTCTCCTAGTCCTCCATCCCCAACAGTCCTCAGTGGGTGTAATGTTCCCCTCCCTGTGTCCATGTGTTCTCATTGTTCAACGCCCACTTTTGAGCAAGAACATGTGGTGTTTGGTTTTCTGTTCCTGTGTTAGTTTGCTGAGAATGATGGTTTCCAGCCTCATCCATGTCCCTGCAAAGGACATGAACTAATTTTTTTAATGGCTGCATAGTATTCCAGGGTATATATGTCTATCACTGATGGGCATTTGGGTTGGTTCCAAGTCTTTATAGCAGTCTTTTCGAGAGTCAGATTTGTTCTTTAGCTTGGCAATTTCTTTTGTATCTCAGAGCAATTTTACTTTGGTCACTCTCTAAGCTACAGCTCTGTTTTTCCCATTGCTTGGCTCAAATTTTGGGTTCCTTCAGGCAATAGTTTCTGAAGATAACTATTCTGAAGAATAGTTGAAGAACCACAGAGAGCCTATCAGTATTAAGGGAAGTTACAAGCTTGTTATTACTCTTAAGTCGGGGATCAGCAAACTTTTTTTTTAAAGTGCCAGATAACAAATATTTTTGACTTGGCAGGTCAAATGGTCTTTGTTGCAACTATTCAACTCTGCTCTTGTAACAGAAAAGTAGCCATAAGCATTAAGTAAGTAAATGGGCACAACTATGTTCTGATAAAACTTTATTATTATTTTTTGTTTATTTATTTGTTTGTTTATTTTTGAGATGGAGTCTTGCTCTGTTGCCCAGGCTGGAGTACAGTGGCAAGATCTTGGCTCACTGCAGGTTCAAGCGACTCTCCTGTCTCAGCCTCCTGAATAACTGGAACTACAGGCACATGCCACCACTCCTGGCTAATTTTTTGTATTTTTAGTAGAGATGGGGTTTCACTGTGTTAGCCAGGATGATCTCCATTTCCTGCCCTAGTGATCCACTCACCTTGGCCTCTAAAGTGTTGGTATTGCAGGCATAATCTACCGCGCCCAGCCCTGATAAAACTTTATTTATAAGACCCCTGCTCTAAGTGAACAGCAGAACGAGCTTCTCTCCCTTGAGCATGCTCTTTGCCTCAGTTTCTTCTTTTTGTCTTCATATCACCATCTTTCCTCCACATTTGTCTTTATTCCTTTTTCATCATAACTTGTTTCTTACTTCCTTTTCCACATCTTGATTCTTTTCTTGTCACTTGCTGCAAGACATATCCTCCAGGATGCCTGGCAGATCCTCCTAGACTCATGGGATGACATCGGAAAGGAAACCTCAATCCTCCTTGGGTCTACTTGGTGACAGAGTTTCCTGGGATGACCAAATTGCGTGTCTGGCCATTTCTTAAGTAGACCTAACTCTTTGTGGGTAGCTTAAGATATGTTTTAGTTTATTAGCTGCATAATTCCTCTGGTTTCCTGGGACCTGCCTCTCTGAGATGACTAAGGGGATCTTTGTTTTGAAATGCCAGTGGAAACTGAAGCATATTTGAATGTTCTTTAGTTTGTTGTGTTCCCCCATCTCATCTGCATAGGTGAAGGCTGTTAGGGAACATGGGTGTGGAGTCTGTAAGAGAAACTTCCTGAGGATCTGTCGGAAATTGACATAATTTTACCTCCTGCAGATTTCCTCATTCAGGCAGGTTTTTTGGTCACCACATGCTTCCCCCAAAGACAGGATGAGAGTGAATGAGCTTCCGCGGAAGCAGGAAAGACTAAGAGTAGAGGTCAGGAAGAACTTTGGGGCTGTCACAACTGTATAGCAAGCAAGGCCAAGACCAGGGGATGTTTTGGTGTTCCCTAGGAATTGTTAAAAGAAGAGGACAGATTACTTCCTGTCCTCACTCTAAACAGAAAAATCGTGTGACAAAGGAAACAGCTTTCTGTTAGAAATTTCCTGTGCAGTATGGACTGAGGGCTGGGGATCAAGATTTGAGGCCCAAATGTCTCCCACTAGCTTCCTCTATGCAGACCCTTCAGGGTGCTGGCTGCTCACTTCAGCAGGGAAGACAACCACCTTTCCACGTTCTGAGTGAGGCTGATATTCTTCTGTCTTCAGAATTCTCTATTCCTCTCTTTTTCTCCCTGCTATGTTTTCTCTTAGCTTTTTAGCTATGCACAGCTGCTCCATTTTGAAAACAACAGAACAAAATAAACATTTGGAAACTTGACCAGCCTGTCTAGCTACTGTCTTATTTTCTTTTTCACTGCCCACACTTCATGAAGAGATGATTCCTCTCTGCGATTCCATCCCTTCACCACCCACTGGCCCCTGTCCTGCCTGTGATGTGGTTCTATCCTCTGCTTTGCTCCCTCACCACACACTGTCTCCCATAACCCAGTTCTGTGCTCCTCTTCCTCTGCTGAAGATCACTTAAAACCCACCACTTACCCAAATTTTGTATCCATGTCTTAATCCTCTCCGCCCCTCACTTCCCTGTGGCATCTGATATGTTTCACTCCTGTCTCCCTCCTGACACCCTCTCTCCTAGTCTCCATGGCCAACATATTCCCATGAGTTGTCTCTCTGGCCTATTGTTACTTTAAATCATTGGCTTCACTTCCCCACTTTGCCTGGGAAAGCCAGTTGGCAAGCTGTTGTAGAAATTCAAGATCATAGAGCTGAAGGTTGGGCTAGGATGGCATTAGAGGGAAAAGAGGGCAACGGGGGCAACGGCTGTTCTTTCTAAAGAAAACACAGGGTTAATGATAGCATGCATGCGGGGAGTAGAGGAAGGATAGGAACCCCACAAGTCTCTCAGATTCTAGTCTGTGACATTAGAATAAAGAATTCAGAAAAGTGGGAAGAGGTGCTGGTTCTAAGGCACATTTGATTTGAGTAGAACAGGACATAGATAATTCATCCAAAGAGGAAAGTTAATGGGAGTGGATAGAAAATCTTTTATCTCGGCCGGGCGCGGTGGCTCAAGCCTGTAATCCAGCACTTTGGGAGGCCGAGGCGGGTGGATCACGAGGTCAAGAGATCAAGACCATCCTGGTCAACAAGGTGAAACCCCATGCCTGTAATCCCAGCTACTCAGGAAGCTGAGGCAGAAGAATTGCCTGAACCCATGAGGTGGAGGTTGCAGTGAGCCAAGATTGCGCCATTGCACTCCAGCCTGGGTAACGA